GGCCGCCTCGGGCGTCGACCCTAAGGGGCACCAAAAGGGGTAGAAAAAATACAAGTTTATCTTTTAACAGAAGCTACACCATAAACAAAGAACTATTATTCTGATTTAAATTATTACCCTAATTACTAAATTTACTTATATCTAAATAGTAGTTTATTTTTTTTTAACAATAGCTACACTGTAAACAATGAACCATAGTTCTGATACATCTATTGGTGCACGCTAAAACCGTCAACATGGGCAACATGTCTTTAATTTTAAATATTTACCCTTATTAATAAAAGTAAGTATAGCGTGTTAATATAAGATTATTGTTAAACAGTACCTTGTCTATAGACAAGGAACTACTGTTCTGATACAACTATTTGTGTTTGTTAACACCGTCAACGTGGGCTAAATGTCTTTAATTTTAATTATTTACCCTAATTACTAAAAGTAGTAAAGTAAAGTTCCCTTTTAAACCCGAAGGTCTATGGGGAAAGTGAAGTAGAGTTCACTTGTTTCTGTGACCTCGGCATATGTCTAAAAGTACTTATATCTAAATAGTAGTATATTTTTTATTAGTAGCTACAATACACCATAAACAAAAAAACTTTGTTCTGATTGATACATCTATTGGTGCATTCTAACACGGTCATTAAATATTTATCCTAATTACTATATTATGTACTTATATCTAAATAGTAGTTTATTTTTTGTAAGTAGTAGCTACACCGTAAACAAAGAACCTTTGTTCTGATTGGTACATCTATTCGTGTATGCTAACATCGTCATTATGGGCAAATTGTCTTTAATTCTAAATATGTTTCCTTATTATTAAATGTACTTATATCTAAATAATATGTGTTTTAATAGTAGCTACACCATAGACAAAGAACCATTGTTCTGATAGAATTATTGGTGCATGCTAACACCGTCATTAAATATTTACCCTAATTACTAAAAGCACTTATTTCATAAAAGAAGTTTATTTTTTTTAAAGCGTCTACAACGTAAACAATGAACCATTGTTCTGATACATCTATTGGTGTATGCTAACACCGTCAACATGTTCAAATTATCTGCTTGATTCCCGTAGTAATATACGTGTCACGTAAGTATGTAACTGGATCCTGCTGTCATGCTTGTACTTTATATAAAGTACTTTATGTAACATATAGAGCAGACATAATAGCATGTATGACTTGAGGTCAAGGCAATCCGGTGACTATGATATTAGTTCGACCAGAATAAAGTACCACGTATAACAAAATGTGAAGTAATGCTAATTGAACTTTTAAAAAATATGCACCGTGTAAGTTGGGGATTATACAATGGTGTGTGAGGCATGCCTTTAAAAATAGCTACAATGGACAAGGTTAACACTGATCCGTTCACTCCTAATTTAATATCAGTATGTCAAGTGGCGTCGCTAGGTCGGGTGTCACCCGGTGGGACCCGCACCCCACGCCCCGTCCTCGCTACGCCTCTGAGTTTGTCAGAACGTGTTGTTGTCGTCGTGTGGTACAGCTTTATGATTCACGTCGGTGACTAATTTTTGTCTGCGTCGTTTCGGGTTTTAGACCAACCGAATTTTCACAAATCTGTGTACGTTTTATCATTCATGTTTTTCAGTAGTAATGAGTAACATTCGTCGGCACATAAATTCAACAACACCAACACATCATTTCACAACATTGATGTAGTACAAACAATTTCAACAACGAAAGATGAATTTTAAAAAATCTAATTTTTCGGCAAAGAGATGACCTGACGCCATTATTTTTACCTGATCCCTGACAACACAAACTCTTGGCAAATCTTTGTTGCAGTTGCTTTTATTAACCTACACGTATGGTTCCTTTCAACATGACGACAAAAGCCCCTATAACATAAAGTTGTTTCAGTACATGAATTATTTTTCTCAAGTCTTTCAACGTGTGGTGCATTTGACATTTCCGCAGGGGTGGTGGTACGCTAGTTAATTTTTTTTTATTTCGCCAACGGATAGGGGCAGTACACGTGCTCCAATGATGGGGGGGGGGGGGGGCTCTCGTCCAATGAGATGTCTGAAAGAAACTAAAGCTAACTTCATTTCGCATAACTTAATACCTAGGTCGGCGTGGTCGAGTCGGTAAAGCTCATGGTTGCTAAACCGGAAAGTCCCCAGTTCGAAAACTTGGGCAGATGAGACTCGAAAGCAACGCTTCGATAAATAAACAGCAGGCTGAAATCGGAGTCAATGGCCTATACGGCGCATAACAAGTTGACACGTATACTTAATTGTATTAGAGGGAATCTCTTCGAATACAAGAATTAAGAACATAAACTCTCTCCATTTTCCCAGCTCTTATATTTCACGTTTTTTACGTTTTGTAACCGTTAAAAAATGTGCAATTCTCTTTTTCAAGACTATTCAATAGACAAAGCATTACTGAGTTTTACACCTTGATGCAGAGGCGTAGCGAGGGGGGGGGGGGGGGTGCGGACCGCACCGGGTGACTCCATTTAGAGGGTGACACCAAGGCAAAAATTAGCAAAATATATAGAGAAAAACTTGAGGGGGGGTGCGAATCGAAAGTTTGAGGGGGGTGCAAATCGAAAATTTGTCCCCGGGAAGGGTCGCTACGCCTCTAGTGGGTTAAGTGCCGCACCGGGTGACACCCGACCTCGCTACGCCACTGCCTTGATGGCTTGTCACTATGTTCGTTCTCGAGACTTTTGAAAACTATTCACTTATCGTAATTGATTGTAAATTATTATATTTTTATCATTTTTAAAGTGTTATATTTTTTAAATTTAGAAATGAAACAATAAAAGAATACATTGTTTAAATTAATAAACAACAGACGTTAACGAGAATCACGTGTTTATGTTGTTTTTTTTTTATGTGAAAAAACTTAATTAATATTTTAAATATAGAAAACTTATTTTTATATTTTATTATATTTATTTATTATATAAAAAATATGAATTATTAACTGATTTTGTAAGTTATGGAAGAATATTTCTAAATTATATTTCTTTCAAAAATGTGATAATAGTGTAGAATTCACCTTTTAATATTTTTTTTTAATTTTAAAATTTAAACATTTCTTTCATTTTATTCTTTTTCCTTATAGGGCCTTGTTATTTGTGAAATAAACAAAAAAAAACTATTAAAACATATTTTTCGAAGTATGAAAACAATTTATAATTTAATCCATCTTACCTGTGGTTAAAAAAAAATTATCGACACCCACCTATACCCTTACCGAATCTATTTTTTTCCCAAATCCACCAGAATTAAAATCCACACAGTCCACCAGACATCTCATCCAACAGAATCCACCAGAAGTTGACTTTGACTGAGTGACCTTCAAAGTGCTAGGGTCACCCTTGACGGGCAGTCTTCTCTGGCCCTCGATTCCGTGACCGTGGGGGAGGGGGGGGGGAGGGGGGGAGAGGTGTAGTCAAAGTCGGGGGACGTGCCTGCCTCCCAGTTTCTAATTAAGCCTGGGGTTGCAATTAACATGGACAGCTAATTACCATTTCACGCAGCGGCTAGCACCGTAGCAGTCAACTAAAGAATATTGTTTACAAATTCCAGTTCAGCTAATGTCCCACGGCGGATCTGTAGTTATATTTTGTCTGAAGCAATTGCACACAGGTCTTGTCCTAGCCTAGATATATACATACGAGCCGTACCGCTCGCTAATTTTTTGTTTTATTTTCAAGTTTTCAGTAATTCATAATTTGTGAATTCGACACTACCAATGCTGCGACTGAAATATTTGCTTTAAAATACTATCGGTAGCTCGTGAAGGACTATAACCCCCCCCCCCCCCCCCCCCGTGACATCAGCCTCCTTTTAGTTACCTCCCCTAAGTTTCAAATCGTTTAAAAGCTAAATTATCTGCTCCTAATAGCTGTCACTATTTTGACCCGGCTCTAAGATTGTAAACATTTGGCGTGAACCACAGCTCACCAGACTTGTGGGGGGTGGGGATGGTAGCGATATGCCACGAGAGCGGGGGAGTAAAGGCGTGCGTTTACGAGGTGTCTCGCATGGTTCCCATGAAGAGAATTATATTTTTTTAAAGATAATTCTACAAGCCATACAATAGTCCGTAACACTAGTGATGGTGCGTTTGCACATGTATGTATAAAATATAAAATAATATAAAATAATTAATTGTAATAACACTGAACATACAAAAATATTTTTATTTTGTTTCGTAACGTTTGAATATCACAATGTTCTACTTCTCGCGATCTGTCATTCATAAAATCTTCATCTTTCTTTACGCCCCATCTCAACAATACTACACAAATATACTACCGAGGCACACAACCAAATTTATATTCAATTTTTTTTACAATCATTAATACACATTTATTTACAATTAATACACACTTTTAAAAATGTTACTATTGTCATTAGTTCGATAGTACTAGGTTAGATTCTCTGGAGTATATACAGTATTTAAACAACTGCACATTATATAACCTACTTAACAAAGATAAAGTTTTTACATAAAAAATGCATTGCATATTACTCTTTAGAACATTTACAAGGCTAATAAAAAAAATTATATTAATAACTGAATATTTCATCTCTGAAGTACGTTTCTTATTCTTTATTTCAGTAAATGTAATTACTGTCTTAAATTTAGTGGGTAGACAGAGGCGTAGCGAGGGGGAGGGGTACATATGTCCCCGGGCGCCGACGTTAGGGGGCGCCAAAATGTGTTGGAAAAACAAATTAAAATGTCATTTTAGCTGCATTTTTGCATTATAAATAGTTTGAGGGGGAGGGGGTGCAAATCGAAAGTTTGCTCCCGAGGGTGGCGCCAAATTGAAAGTTTGTCCCAGGACGCCAGGAAGGGTCGCTACGCCTTGGGTAGAATGCTTGATAATGTTTTGAATACATTCGTTACTGAGGTTTAGAAATAGCAAACACGTTTGTATTTTACAATCAGGGTCAGACTGGTGGACCCCCAGGTTTAAATAAACCCTCTGCCCCCCCCCCCCTGCCCCCAGCAACGTAGCTCTACTACAAGGCCTTCGGTGCCTTGATTTTTTAAATGATTATTTGTCGCGTGATTTTTCCATCTAGCTGAGGATGATCATTGGGATAAAACGCAGAATAAAAATTTCAATCTGGGGTTGGGGGCCCCTTTTAAATTTACCCGGGCCTCTTGGGCACAGCCAGTCCACCCCTGCTCACGGTAATTAAAAAAATGACAACGATGAAAATGTAGGGCAGTTGTATTTTAGTCAAGGCTAATGTGTGCTAATGTGGATGCTTAGATGAATGATGGTAAACGTAGTGCATGCTTGTAATCAGTCTAAAGAAAACAGCAAACAAGAGGTAAACAATACGATTCCCTTCACGGGTTTGAGCATTTATACTAAACAAAAAGAAACAGTAGTTTTTTTTTTTTTTTTTTTGTTTGTTTTTTAAATTTATTTTTTACATTTTTTAAAGGTGTTTTTGTTTCTGCCCAGGCGCTTTGCTATCCTATCAGGTACCCATCAGAAGGGTAAACTCAAAGACGTTCAACTGACTTGAACCTGGATTCGAACTCGAGAAATGTGGGCCTTAAATCGTATTTCACCTGATATAACAAAGCGGTGGACGAAATATTGTTTAAAAAAAGAAACATAACATTGCCCTGTAGTTATAGTAGTGCTTTAAGTTAGCGAAAAAAAAATCACGAAGAACTAAACTATATTAGGATAAGGCACATCAATCAATGTTGTTTTTTCTTATCGACAAAATACCTAACGTTGTAGAGCTGTTCTTTTCTAGTTCTTTTTTACATAACATCTAGCTCATCACAATGAGAGCGATCACGTCGTGGGTGCGATTATTTTTACCCCGTTACGTTCATTACACCCAAGCGATAATTGTTTATTTGTAAAATCACTACTTGTCCAAAATACAGAGGTCTTCTATGGCTCCGTTTTGTCATTTAAACAAAAAAAAAATGATTTTTTTTTCTCAGTAAAGTACCGGTACCACTACAGAACAGCAGCAATAGAAAACTCTAAGATATCTATATTAATTAAAATAGCAATCATGAACTTCTTTTTAAAATAATACATATTTAAATATTATATGCTTCATACTGGTATTAAACCAAATGAATATATAGTTAATTGTTCCAATATTTCAAGAGATGCTTTGTTTTTATCACTTTAACAAAAATAAAATCAGAGTTATCTCCTTGCATTACTTCCCCCTGATTGTCCCCCTTTCCGCTTGTTGATGAAACTTTCCTTAGCTCCGTCCATGGAATCTATGGCGTCAAAATAATGATTGACGGGGGTCCCTGGCTCAGAGGTGGCGTAGGCCGTCTCGTACTCCTCGTCAGCCTCGACGATCAAGGGTTCGAACTTGAACTCTTTCCTCTCTCGCAGGGGCGTGTACGGCTTACGGCTGTCCCTGCTAGAAATAAAAATCTATCATCAAATCAAGTCTTTACAAAGTGGTGGAAGTTTTTTAGAATTTTAAAACTTTTTGAAACTGATTAGGGGTTTGTGAAGCTTTGTTATTCTTACCATATTTAAAAATTTACTCTAACATTATATTACTAAGTAAACTCATTATGTATATGTAAATATATAAACATGTAGTTTTGATGTATATATATATATATATATATATATATAAATTGATATAATAAGTATAGATAGATAGATATATACAGTATATTATACATCAAACAACTTACACATTGGTGTTGTGTTCATCAAACAACTTACACATTGGTGTTGTGTTCATTAAACAACTTACGCATTGGTATTGTGTTAAACAACTTACACATTGGTGTTGTGTTCATTAAACAACTTACGCATTGGTATTGTGTTAAACAACTTACACATTGGTGTTGTGTTCATTAAACAACTTACGCATTGGTATTGTGCTAAACAACCTACACATTGGTGTTGTGTTAAACAACTTACACATTTGTGTTGTGTTAAACAACTTACAGATTGGTGTTGTGTTAAACAACTTACACATTGGTGTTGTGTTAAACAACTTACACATTGGTGTTGTGTTCATCAAACAACTTACACATTGGTCTTGTGTTCATCAAACAACTTACACATTGGTGTTTTGTTAAACAACTTACACATTGGTGTTGTGTTAAACAACTTACACATTGGTGTTGTGTTCATCAAACAACTTACACATTGGTGTTGTGTTCATCAAACAACTTACACATTGGTGTTGTGTTCATCATACAACTTACACATTGGTGTTGTGTCAAAGAACTTACACATTGGTGTTGTGTTAAACAACTTACACATTGGTGTTGTGTTCATCAAACAACTTACACATTGGTGTTGTGTTCATCAAACAACTTACACATTGGTGTTGTGTCAAAGAACTTACACATTGGTGTTGTGTTAAACAACTTACACTTTGGTGTTGTGTTAAACAACTTACACATTGGTGTTGTGTTCATCAAACAACTTACACATTGGTGTTGTGTTCATCAAACAACTTACACATTGGTGTTGTGTTAAACAACTTACATATTGGAGTTGTGTTCATCAAACAACTTACACATTGGTGTTGTGTTAAACAACTTACAAATTGGTGTTGTGTTCATCAAACAACTTAAACATTGGTGTTGTGTTCATCAAACAACTTACACTTTGGTGTTTTGTTAAACAACTTACACATTGGTGTTGTGTTCATTAAACAACTTACACATTGGTGTTGTGTCAAAGAACTTATACATTGGTGTTGTGTTAAACAACTTACACTTTGGTGTTGTGTTAAACAACTTACACATTGGTGTTGTGTCAAACAACTTACACATTGGTGTTGTGTTAAACAACTTACACATTGGTGTTGTGTTAAACAACTTACACATTGGTGTTGTGTTAAACAACTTACATATTGGTGTTAAGTTAAACAACGTACATATTGGTGTTGTATTAAACAACTTACACATTGGTGTTGTGTTAAACAACTTACAGATTGGTGTTGTGTTAAACAACTTACAGATTGGTGTTGTGTTAAACAACTTACACATTGGTGTTGTGTTAAACAACTTACACATTGGTGTTGTGTCAAACAACTTACACATTGGTGTTGTGTTCATCAAACAACTTACACATTGGTGTTGTGTTAAACAATTTACACATTGGTGTTGTGTCAAACAACTTACAGATTGGTGTTGTGTTAAACAACTTACACATTGGTGTTGTGTCAAACAACTTACACATTGGTGTTGTGTTCATTAAACAACTTACACATTGGTGTTGTGTTCCTCACGAGCTGGTTGCGTCATACTGTCCTCGTTACCCTCGAACCCAGTGGACTCTGTACTGACCACACGTCGTATGGTGCCGCCCTTTATAAGCTGGGCCATGCTCGTCACTGTGTTGCCCTCTTCAATGGCTGATAGTTCCGGTATTCTGGTTGTTAAGTGGAAATATGGGATTTGTTAACACATGGGAAAGTGGAAAAGTGGGATTTGTTAACACAGGAGTAAGTGCTGAAGTGGTATTTGTTAACATAGGAGTAAGTGCTGAAGTGGTATTTGTTAACGTAGGAGTAAGTGTAGAGGTGGGATTTGTTAACAGAGAAGTAAGTAGAGGTGATATTTGTTAACATAGGAGTAGGTGTAGAGGTGGTATTTGTTAACATAGAAGAGGTGGGATTTGTTAAAACATGGGTAAGTGGTAAGGTGGGATTTGTTAACAAAGGAATCATTCTGATGGTAAGTGTAGGGGTGATATGTGTTAACATAGGGGTATGTGGAGAGGTGGTATTTGATCGGACATGAGTGGGTGTAGGTGTGTTATTTCTTGACAAGGAAATCACATGGATTGGGTAAAATAGTCTAATGGTAAGTGCAGACGTGGTATTTGTTAACATAGAAGTAATTGTAGAAGTGGTATTTATTAAACATTAGTAAGTGTAGAGGTGGTATTTGCTAACATAGGAGTAATTGTAGAAGTGGTATTTATTAAAAATTAATAAGTGTAGAGGTGGTATTTGCTAACATAGGAGTAATTGTAGAAGTGGTATTTATTAAAAATTAGTAAGTGTAGAGATGGTATTTGCTAACATAGGAGTAATTGCAGAGGAAATATTTGTTATCATAGAAGCAAGTAGAGGAGGTATTTGTTAACTTAGAAGTAAGTGTAGTAGTTTGATAGTAAGGGTAGAGGTGTTATTTGTTTACACGAAAATGATGAGGATTGAGGAAAATAGTAGTTTGATAGTAAGGGTAGAGGTGTTATTTGGTGATAAAAATAAGAATCACCAGAATTGGGAAATAGCGATCTTAGTATAAAGAATCTTACATGGCGATTAACACCGGCGCTTAGTGTAGATATCGACCAATAATAATATCGTATATGGTGATTCAACCAATTCTACAAACATGGGGAATATCAATTGAACTTTTGATGTAGAGACAGCCATATATATATATATATATATATATATATATATATATATATATATATATATATATATATATATATATATATATATGCTCGATTTAACTTCTAAAATATCCTATAATATAATATTGTTTCATGATGTGACCAAATTTGTAGGAATACATAATCATCTTTGAGGTATTGTTCGGCATGAGAGATCGGAGTGGAGGGTGGGGTGTTACTGACCTGGAGACTTTGTCTGAGTTCTGGGGTGCGATGTTGACCAGACCAGATCTCCTGGGTTTAGGGGGAAGTTCTAGAACGTCGTCTGCTTCTTTAACAGGCTCCACGATAAACCTGTTCCAGACATATGTTTTTTATTAAAGTCATGTTCGTTTTAGTTCGAGTTCTTTTTATTTAATCAGATTATCTGAGATAAGTATAATACAACTGGCTTATATACCATGATAATTTTTTTTAATTTAAGTGCGTTTTGTATGCAATCAGATTATCTGAGTTTCATATTACACAAATGGCCAATATACCATGATCGTTTTAATTTAAGTTTCGTTTTTGATCAGATTACTTGAGATCCATATAAATCAAGTATGGGACAATGTGGTAGAGCGCTCAGCTGCTATCCTGAAAGACTCGAGTTCGGATCTCAGTTCGCGCTTGGAGCTGCAGGTAGTCCTGAGTCAACCCAGCCGTTATGGATACCTGACTTACGTTGGGAAAATTAAAAGAAACTGGCCATTGTGCTTACCATAACATCCTTTTAAATGCTGAGGTCAAGAAACATATGAACTCTACTTCATCGCTACGACTGAACCAGTGGCGGAACTAGAAAAAATGGGCCACCCCGCAAAAAAAATTTTGGGCCCCCCATATATATATATATATATATATATATATATATATATATATATATATATATATATATATATAACACGGTATCATTCGTGTATTTATTTGAGACGTTTGCCTTGTTTTCTAGAACAGTGGTTATTAAATGTAAACAATGTTGGCACTTTATTTCTTGGATATTAGTTGTTGGAGCGCTAGTTTATCTACACTACCACCGATACAAGCCAGCTTAGTTGTTGAGGCGCTATCTATTAGCTTCTTGTAAGGCTAAGAGCGGGAGTGGAGGTCTGAAAAGGAACTTAAAAGGGACAACAAAGCACCGATGTGTTTTTATCCATCAGTTCCAAATTTGGGATGGTCTCAAAAAGCAGTCTTAATATCTAGCGGCCTCTCGCGCAATTGATGTTTTTTCAAAAGAATTTTTGCCGACAACAGCGTGTGTTTGATTGTAGGAAAAAGAATATACAAGAGCGTGGGATGGTGCCTATAGAATAAAGATACTCCAACCGCAGCTACAGTATTCTTTTTTTCAAAACAACCATCAGGTCAAAAATGCAAGAAAATTCATTTTAACTTTAAAAAAATTATTATGGGCGGCTGTGGGCCCCCTAAACGGCGTGCCCCCCCCCCCCCCCCCCCGCATTGCGAGGTCTGGCGGCACTGTAGTTCCGACGCTGGACTGAACGGAGAACTTGACTTTTTTTATATTTTAACTGATCTACATATCAAAATCCTTTTAGTTAAGTTAAAATTTTACAAAATCCGAATAGTTGAGATACATTAGATACACTGCTGACTGAGCCTGTTTTAACCACGCTAAGCTATAATTTTTTTAAATTAAATTAGAAAACATTCAGTAATATAATAAACACAACATTTTAGCAGGAATTAAATTTAAAAAAAACTGTCTGTTAAAACCTTTGTGAGATAGATTACAAATAGTTGATGAGTCTGTTTGGACTTAAAACCTATTTATGATTTACCCAAGAAAAGTTTTGAAATTTTTTTAAAATACGTTTACAGAAACGTTTATGATGTATTAAATAAATACTAGTTTAAGCAATATTAAAAATGACAAATATACACAATAAAACAGGGTTAAGCTAGCTTCTCACATGTATATGCCTTTAGTGATTTTTATTCTTAAAATTAAAAACAATCTATATTTGTATGATTTTACATTGTATTATCTGACAACATCTCTAACTTCGAATTTTATACCCCAACTAAAAAAATATCAAGGCGTTGTTTTTTTACCTAGGCAGTACAGGTTTTCTAGGTTTGGTGAACAGGTTGATGCCTAACGGAAGAATTTTCTACCCCAACTAAAAATAAACCGGGAGTGATCTCCCCTAAACTTTCTCGAATATTCTTATATAACTTGAAATAATTTTTAATTACTTAAACTTTTAAAAATAGAATAGAATCTCATAGAAAAAAGAATTGCGCACCAAGCGAACGCCAAAACAAAATGTGCATAATAGTGCGCAATATTATTAGTACTTTATAAATTTACATGTGTTTTTTGAGAAATCGAAAATAGCGTAAATTAGTACTTCCGGTCAGTGGAAATTACTCATAATTTGTCAGAAGGCAGAGAATTAGATCTTGTACTTACATGTGGAATTTCATTTATCTATCTAAAATAGTACTCAAGTTATAGGCTTTTGAAAAATTCAAAGTAGAAAAAGTACCACTTCCGGTTATCGGAAATTGCTCAAAAGTTGAGACGGATCTACGATTTTGATAAAATACTTATATATCAAATTTCATCAACCTAGCTGTAACGTTACTCAAGTTATCGTGTTTACACACAGACAGACAGACACACAGACATACGGACAAGATTGCAAAATTATGTTTTTCCGTATCAGTGATGTGTAAAACGTCGAGATTTGTAAAAATCTCGATTTGTTTTTTTTTTGCACGATTACAAGACTTTCTCTATACGAGAAAGTAAAAAAATCAAGGTGTTGTTTTTTACCTGGGCATTACAGGTGTTCTAGGTTTGGTGAACAGGTTGATGCCAAACGGGAGACTCAACTTCCGGCCTCGTTTTGGTGGGTCTGCGATCTCAGACTCCGTGTTGGATCTTTGTCTTACCTGTCATTGGATGAGATTGGTAAATTAAAAACTGTTATTAAACCTTATACATCTGTTTTATACGAAACAAAATCTGATGGAAATTTTCTTCAATGTTTTTTTTTTTTTTTTTTTTTTTTTAAGAAATAAGATTCATCAGTAATACTAATGGATTTAATTAAGTTCATAAACAGCAATAATAAATTGACACAAACTCATCTATTTTACATCAAGCTAAAACCAGCGTTAGTTAACATTTAAAAGAATAAAATATAAAGTGTTATTATTCAAAATAAAGTTAGTGTTTGTAAATATTTTATCGTTGTAAGTTTTTAAAATTGTGAAGCATGTATAGTTGAGAATTAAAAATAAATAATTATAAAAAATGTGTCTAAATATTTACCTAAAAAAAATCCGTTTACAATGAAACTGCCGAAATCATACTCTCTAATAAGCGCTTCCCTGTGTTTATATTCGGTTGTGTTCTAGGGGTTAATAGCCTCCCGTCCCCCCACCCCCACACAATCACAAAACACACACATTCTACCAACCACGGTTCAAATGGCTATATCCTAGACATCCGGGAAATTCTAAAGCCCCCCCCCCCCCAACCCATTCCCAGATTGAAATTTCTTTGCGTATTTGTTTTTCCAATTTCAAAAAAATGAAAACACTAATGGGACTAAAACAGCACTGGGGAACCCGCCCAGATATACATGGGGGCCCACCGGGATTTTTTCCCGATAGACCGGCGGGCAAGTCCACCCCTTCACCCTACCATAGCAACGTCCCTGATTTCATAATCAACACAATCGTTTTAAATTTTTACTAAAACATAGATAATTAAAATATATTAACGCTGGTAATTTGCTACTATTTTATTTCATATAAATCAGAGCAATTGTAAATTAAACAAAAGTATGCTGATTATAAAAATTCTGTTTAATTTTTCTTAAAGCGATTAATCAAGCAACTTAAAAAAAATCATTGAAATAGCATATTGAGGGAATAAAGATGAGACATGCTATTTCTTGATAAGGTTAATAAATAACACTTCATATATGCGGGGGTGCAATGGTTGTGTCCATGAGGCCCGGGAAATTTTAAAAGACCCCCCTCCCCTCCCTCAACTCCAGATTAAAATTTTCAATGTGCGCTTTTTTTCCCTCCATCACAGCCTGATTTTTTTTCCCTTTGGTAAATCCACCATCTTTTTTATGCGATAAAGGGGGGGGGGGTCGTCCTTAAATGACGTCACACCCGTAGGAGGTTCGTAATTTTGTGACGATGTGTGACGAGGAGGAGGGGAGGGGGGGGGGGTTCAGATAGTGTGACGTCACTCTTTTGCATTTTTTATTTCAAAAGTAATGTCGTAAACATAATTTTAGTGGTTATTTCGCAATTTAGTAAATTGTAATAGAAATTGCTTAAAAATTCTCTTCATTGACCGAGCTCAGTCTATATTTTAGAAAAACGTCGACGTTATAAAAAATTCAACTGCAAATTTGAGGCAGGTTGTAATCTGAACTTTGGCGTCATTTAAGGGAAAGGGGAGGGGGGTCTGGCTTTAAGTGACATTGTGTGACGGAGGGGAAGTAGTGGAGTTAAAAATCGTCAAAAAATGTAAAAAGCATGACGTCATATGTTTGGCCACTAACACTTTTCTTCCAAGTTCTACACATTTTTTATTTTTTAAATGTTGCCTTAGGGTTTTCTAATAGGCTTTAACATCCCCCCCCCCCTCACCCCACCGCCCACCCGCAGGTGCATCAAGTTACCTGGTTTGAACAAAGTTAGGACGGGGAGGGGTGGCGTTTGAGAGATAATAAAAAACGTTCACTGTTATAGGTACCGAACTCAAAATCAATGTATAGCACGAGTATCGACCAAATGCAACATCGGATAAATACAAAAACAAGACGAATGAGTTTTATTTTACATGGAAACTGTTTAATACGAACACTGTATCCAATTGTGGTTTGATCCAATTTAACAACAAAAATAAATTGTGCCATAAAGAGCTTCGATTAGTTATGGCTGACTAATGACATTACAATACAATTGTAAACAAATTATTTGATTGGATATAGTTAATAAATTAAAAGTAAAACATCGAAGGATTGAGAAAATATAACGTAAAGTAAAATTCCTGAGATAAGTACACAAAAAATGTTATTTACATAAAAACTGCTTAAGTGGACACTCACACACACAAACACACACACATATATATATATATATATATATATATATATATATATATATATATATATATATATATATATATATATATATGTGTGTATATATATATATATATATATATATCTAAATATGTATATATATATATATATATATATATATATATATATATATATATATATATATATATATATATATATATACATATATATATATATATATATATATATATATAATAAGCTGAGGTATTTCTTACTAAAAGCTTAGCTATAAACAAAATTGAAAAATCTTTGTATAACGTGTGTTAAAACGAACGTTAATTGACTGCAGTTAAATGCTAAGTTACGTGCCTTGGCTACAACAACACAATCTCACCATTACTGGTACCGTAAACACCACATTACAAACAATATCAAATTCAAGGTATTTTACAAGGCATATCCTTAATAAAAGCCAACTACTTTCTACTTTAGCCTAAAGCCTAAGCAAGAAAAATTACTAATGCATCCTAAACTATTTTAGCAAAAGCTTTAAAATTGTGTAAATGTAACTTTTAGCGATGGTAATTTCAAATACATACATATATATATATATATATATATATATATATATATATATATATATATATATATATATATATATATATATATATATATTTATATTATATATATATATATATATATATATATATAAACATATATGTATGTATATAAATATATATATATACATGTATGTATATGTGTGTATATATATGTATATATACATATATATATATATATATATATATATATATATATATATATATATATATATATATATATATATATATATATATATATATATTTATATATATATGTATAGTCATCTATATATACATACAAGAGCTATTCTAGATTGAAAAGAAGCACACGGTGAAGCATCGATGAAGCGAAGCAGATCTATGTCCTGTTATCGTTATTATCAAGCTACACGTAGGATTTGTTATTGTTATCACAGTCTGCGTCATACACGTCATCAGTTACCGGGATATCGAGCGACGACCGCCTGTTGTTGTTGTTGGTCTCGTTGCCAGGGTGACCATTCGGCATCAGGGTCTGGCGCCCGAGGCCGCTGCCGAACGAGTTCAAGGTCACGTGAGACCCGTGGGCCCGGCTGTGACGGTGCTGGAGGAGGCTGAGGAACGAACCCGTGATGGAACGCTTCCTTTGTCTGGAGGAGATAACGCAATATTAATGTGTGTGATAGTTATGGAAATTAGTGGCTCTACATTTTGTTTTCAAACTCACTAGGCCTATATATATATATATATATATATATATATATATATATATATATATATATATATATATATATATATATATATATATATATATATATATATATATATATATATATATACATAAATATATAAACAAAAATATACATACATATATATATATATATATATATATATATATATATATATAAATATATATATATATATATATACATATATATATATATAGGCCTATATATATATATATATATATATATATATATATATATATATATATATATATATATATATATATATGCCTATAAATATATATATATATATATATATATATATATATATATATATATATATATATATATATATATATATATATATATATATATATATATATATATATATATATATATATATATATATATATATATATATATATATATATTGTTTCGATGATAAATTTACAGTGTTTTTATGCATCGATAAATACTAACATGATTGGAGTTTAGAATATGGACATTTAAAATATGGTGCTGAAATCGTTAACAATAAAAAGTCAGTGAATAGTTTTGAGAAATATAGAAAAAAATGAGTAATTAGAATGAAAATGGAAATAGTCGCTCCAGACTTAAATGCTTACTGATCAGTTGTTGTTTTATTTTTTTTTTATTATAATATATCAAGTTCTAAGACCATGCCAAATGTACAGACCTAGCCTTAAGTTTATCCCACCTTTAAAATTAAATCCTAAGGCTCAACCTAACATTTAGCCTAACAACCCACTGACTCTGAAAACACTTACTGTAGCCAATTGTAAAACAAACAAAAAAAGGTTAGTTTAAGAAGACCGAAAAACTTATCAACACAAAACTCACTCAGATATCTTGATATGACAATATTTCATACAACTAAATCTACATGTAGGGAATAGGGCTGGTAAGTAGGTCACCAACCAGTTCTATGGCTCATGCAGGTATTATTGAGCCGTATAACTGGTTGGTGACCTACTTACCAGCCCTATTATTTCAGTGTAAAGAAAAACTAAAAACCAGACCAAGCTGTTTAGTTTTTTTAAAAGTACGAATTAATAAAAGAAAAAGTCAAAGGTGAAAGACTGCATAAATTAACATAATTACCCGTTGGACCAATCATTCTGGTTTTGGGTGTCCTCGTGATCAGACATGATCATTTTCTCTTCTTCCAAAGTTGGTCGTCTGCAGAATAAGATTTGACTAATTAAAACTTTGATTTAAACATGATCTCATATATACAGTAACAAAGAATCAGACTTCGGCTAATAAAATATTGACTAGAAACGTATCTAAACTATGATATGAAAAAAATAATAAATTCCGGTTAATTGAAACGATGAAAACATCTCATATACTCAACAGCTAAGAGTCAAGTTTCAGCTAGTTAAAACTTTGATTAAAACTTGAACTATATACAACAACAAGGAGTCATCTCCGTAAATGACGTCACGCTTTTTTGACGATTTTTACCTCCCCCCCCTCTAGACCCCCCCCCCCCTAAAATGACGTCACACCTCAGTCTACAACACCCCCCCCCCTCAAAAAGGCTTTTGAATTTTCTTAAAACATCAATATTTTTCCAAAATCTTGTCAGAACTATGTCAACAAAGAGTCTTTTGATCAATTCCTATAACAATTTATTAAAACCGTTTTTTAAAACGCGAAATAACGGCTAAAACTCGTTTTTTCTAACATTGCTTTTTTTATAATGCAAAAGTGTCACACCATCTGAACGCCCCCCCCCCCTCCCCCTCATCACACACCGTCACAAAATTACGGACCCCCCTCCCCCCTACGAGTCTGATGTTATTTATGGACGACACCCCCCCCCCCCTTTTCCAATGAATCTGATTTCAGCTAATTGAAACATTGACTAAAAACGTATCTCAAATATGAAACGAATAAATTTCAGCTAATTAAAACATTGATTTAAAAACTTATCTAAAATATGATACTAAACAAGAATAATTTTCAGCTAATAAAAACGATGAAAACAATATCGAATATATTCAATAACAAAAAATCAAATTTCAGCTAATTAAAACAAAGATTAAACCAAGTCTGATATATCAAACAACAAATAATTAGATTTCAGTTAACAAAAACATTGATTTAAACATGATCTCGTATATTCAACAACAAAGAATCAAGATTTCAGCTAATACATTCATTGATTTAAACACAATCTCATTTATTCAATAGCACGCATCAAAGGCAAGCTCATAAATTAAAACCTTTGGTTTCGCCGATTTATGAATTTATAAAATTTGTCCGTGCAGTAACAGTTTTTGGACATGTCGGCCTATACACGCTCCGTGACAAACTAATTAACTTTTACTCCGGTGTAATTTAATAACGGAATTATTGCACTTTAAAGCAGTCTGTAATTTAAGTTTATGGGATTGTATACGTCATTTAATGCATACTTTGTAACGGCCTTGAGGTAAATGATAGAAGCTGGTCTAGTTCTAAAACGAAAGATAGCAAACTATGAAAAACCCCGGAGAAGACAATTTAAAGAGGATTTGACAAAGGTGGCAGAGTTTCTTCCAGACAACCCCGAAGTAAGTCTATCCCCCCCCCCTCCCCCCAAAGGAAATGGAATGTATATAGAAAATCTATACTTTTACTATTGTAAAACATTGAATGTGGTGTCCATATGCCCAATGCCCTACCTACTGAATATTAAAGGTTGTGCCATATGCCCAATGCCCTACTTACTGAATATTGAATGTGGTGCCAGTGCCCAATGCACTACTTACTGAATATTAAAAGTGGTGCCAATATGCCCAATGCCCTACTTACTGAATATTAAAGGTGGTGCTTATATGCCCAATGCCCTACTTACTGAATATTGAATTTGGTGCCCAATGCCCTACTTACTGAATATTGAATGTGGTGCCCATGAAATTAGGCCTGACAGAGCTGAGTGATGACTCTGTGTATGGAATGTCAGGATTCTCATCATCCCAGAATGCATCTCTGATGAAGCCCGGATGTTTACCATAACACTGGTCAACCAAACAGAAAGCTACCTGCAAATTTAAATAATGAGGGCTTAAATCATAACATTATCGATACACAGTCATAGTAATAATTAGTTAATTTTGTAGAGTTAATTAATTTCTAATATTAAAATGCTGTATTAACATATCTTTATCTTTTCTAAACACACTAGCGGAAAAATCAAGTACGTATTTTAACTACGTTTAACAAATATGTCTGAATGTGTTTAACATTAATTGTGTCTGTGTCTAAAAGTGTGTCGGGGTGTGTAGGAGTGTGTTTGGGTATGTATGATGGTGTCTAGGGTGTCTAAGTGTGTCTGACCGTGAGTGTGTCTGAGTGTGTCTGAGTGTGTCCAAGTGTGTTTAACATTGAATGTGTCTGAATGTGTTTAGGTGTGTCTAACGTTGAGTTTGTCTGAATGTGTCTGAGTGTATATCAGTGTGTCTGAATGTGTCTGATTGCGTCTAACATTGAGTGCTTCTGAGTGTGTCCTAGATTGTCTAACGTTGAGTATGTCTGTGTGTCTCTGGGTGTGTCTGGGTGAGTCTGGGTGTGTCTGTGTGTGTCTAAATGTGTCCTAGATTGTCTAACGTTGAGTGTGTCTGTGTGTCTCTGGGTGTGTCTGAGTGTGTCTACGGTTAAGTGTGATTGAGTGTGTCTGTGTGCCTCTGGGTGTGTCTGGGTGTGTCTGACACTTACAGCTGTGTGTCTGTCCAACAGCCAATTAAAATCGTAATCATCATCGTCCTCACCAAAAGGATTAATCATCTGCTCAGCGACCTGGAGTTGGGTAACACAAAATAGAAGGGTTAACATGTCATAGACTTCAAGCCAGGAAATAAAAGTATTTCATAAAGCGGTGTAAATTGTGAATGTAATCACTAAGAAAATGGACATTAACAAATATAAAATGATGTAAGGTAAGGGATAATTTAAGAGAGAATTTTTTTTTTTAGTTTTTAACGTATATTAGTAAATAATAAACTTGTAATAAACCCGGTAGTTATTTCAATTTCCTTGTTATTTTTCTTTCATTATCAGTATTTAGAAAGAAATTACAACATTACAGTAATATGATATATATATATATATATATATATATATATATATATATATATATATATATATATATATATATATATATATATATATATAAAATTATATACATATATGAATAAATGTATGTACCTTTAACCAGCCCATATAGAAGAGGAACTGCATGATGGTAAACCCAGGTACGTAGAAATCTCCTTCATAACCTTCGTACTTTTTATCAGGGTTTAGGTACTGTTGTCCTACCAGCGCCACAGCAAAGTAGGTATAGACGGCTAGTGTCACCACCTACGTAGGATGTTGTGAGAAAGAAAGATATTATATATATATAATATATATAATAATAAAGATATTATATATATATATATATATATATATATATATATATATATAGTTTTAGGTTTAGATAGTTATTGTTTAATTGTATTGAATTTTGAATCTTACCTGTGTGTAGACGAGTGGCACAGTGATCCAATCATACACAAAGCATACAGAGCATTTGTCTCGGAAGTCAGCAAGATACTGAAGGGGAATTATGAATGCATATATATGTATAGGCCTATATATACATATATATATATATATATATATATATATATATATATATATATATATATATATATATATATATATATATATATATATATATATACATTTACATATATATATAAATATATATTTATGATATGTGACAGGACAAATGATCTCAGGACAAAATATCTCAGACAAAATATCTCAGACAAAATATCTCACGGACAAATGATCTCAAGACAAATGATCTCAAGGACAAATGATCTCACGGACAAAAGATACCAGGACAAAATATATCAGGACAAATTATACCATGGACAATTGATCTCAGACAAAATATCTCAGACAAAATATCTCACAGCAAAATTTTATATATATATATATATATATATATATATATATATATATATAGTTGAAGCATTAAATCTATTTTTCTAAATTATCTCGCAAACTGTTTTCCTCCACCACAGAAAGATACAAGTCCAAACTTTTAAATTACATCATGCCAGAGAACATGTAATATTCAACAGCTTATATAATATATACCTCGATGACCATCCTGAGACCAAAGTCCGTCTGGATCCTCCCCTCCTTTCTGGCAGTGACCAGGACATGGTTGGCCCAGACGATGGGCACCCAGAACTTGATGTATCGGCACTGAACCTTCTCGTACATCTCCACCTCCTCTTTGGTCACAAAACCTGAAACGTTACAATGTCGTTTTAACTAAAAGATCAAAGTACCTCTTGTGTTTGCTTAGCGTTTTGCTTCATGTATGAAACTAATTTCTCGGCAACTTGTTTTTGAACTACATGATAAAAGAGGAACCCCATTGTCTAACAAACTATATAGCCATTAGGCTCGGCAAGTTAATAGCTAATATATAAGCTATTCTCTATAACCGTTTCAGATACTAACCCAAAATAAAAAAATAATGTTTTTTATAATTATAACTTTTCGTTTTATTTATCTTAAAATAAGTAAAAAAGCAGTCTCATAATTATTAGAAGTAATTAACACAAACTATATTAACTATGTATATATATATATATATATATATATATATATATATATATATATATATATATATATATATATATATATATATATATATATATATATATATATATATATATATATATATATATATATATATATATATATATATATATATATATATATATATAAATATATACACACACACACAAAAAGAATTTTGCCCCCCCACTCCATATATATATATATATATATATATATATATATATATATATATATATATATATATATATATATATATATGTCCTACACCCATGACATAAGCCTCCTTCCATATAGGGTTAAAATTAAGTTACTCACCTGCCTCCACGACATGGTCTAGTGTAGGGAACCTCTTCATGACAGACACACTTGTACAACGCAGGATCAGGATCAGGCCGAACAGCACGTACCTAGGGTATACAGGTGGGCATGCAGTACAGACGTAGTTTTAGTACAGAGCATGATGGTTAAATTTAAAGCATTCGGGTGTCGTTTCACACGAAGAGCAGGTGAAGTAGAGCTCATGTTTTTGTTTGATCACGGCTTTGAATTGGACTTTGTTGGCAAAGTTTGCCTCTCCTCCCCTCTACCCTTGACTCAAGAAAATAGCCAGGTACTAAAACTGAGCTGAAGAGACTAAATAGTATTCAGATTTAAATCATACCTTACGTTAAATTAAACCTCATTGTTTTGAATTAACAGAATTTTTTAAAAATATATTGACTGAAGTAGCTTACGTATTTAGAATTCATTGCCAGTCACGTGATAAATAAAAATAAGTTTAAACTCGTTAATATTGATATTTAAATATTATGTTTACCTTGCCACTGCTCTTCTCATCATGCGTGATTTCTCATCGAAGCCGTGGAGATAAGTGGACATGACAAACAGGGTCCTGTGTAGTAGAATATAAAAGTTTTTTTGTTAGGGTTAGGGCTAGGGCTAGGGCTAGGGCTAGGGCTAGGGCTAGGGTTAGGGTTAGGGTTAGGGTTAGGGTTAGGGTTAGGGTTAGTGTTAGGGTTAGGGTTAGGGTTAGGGTTAGGGTTAGGGTTAGGGTTAGGGTTAGGGTTAGGGTTAAGGATAGGGTTAGGGCTAGGGCTAGGGCTAGGGCTAGGGCTAGGGCTAGGGCTAGGGCTAGGGCTAGGGCTAGGGCTAGGGCTAGGGCTAGGGCTAGGGCTAGGGCTAGCTGTTTTTATTTAATTTAGGGTTTGTGTTTGAATTAGGATTATGGTTATTCTGTGTCAGGTTTAAAACTAGAGCACACAAAAAAAACTAAAGTCATTTTTATCTAAAAGATGCTTATAAGCGGTTGGCGTTAAAAGGAGAGAGAGAGTTAGAGAAAGGGTGAGAGAGAGAGAGGGAGAGAGCTAATATAGGGTATGGTTAGTTTTTGGGAAAGGACTACAGCTAGTGTTTGGACTTTAGAATAAGAGACATTGTTTCATTGACGGTTAAAGCTGGAATTTTAAATAAAATATAATTTGTGATGAGGATTGAAAAACTACCAATGGCGATTGAAAATATGACGTCATCTGTGACGTAAGGACTCAGGTAACTCACCTGTCCGGCCAGGGAACGTTGTGGAACTGCTGCCACCACCTGCCCACAATAAACGTCACGTAGAACCCCAGCAGGAACGACAGAGGGATGACGCTGGTCGCAGAACGGCATTCTATAGCCATCGTCTCGAATGTTCTGGTAAGAATTGAAGAAAAAATATTACATTTCAGTTTTGTTTTTTTTAATTTGGATATAAAGGAGGCCGGATAGAATATTAACGAATATAAAGAGTAACACATTTTATGTAAATTTTATATCTGATATGATATTTTGTTTTAAATTCACAAGACAGAGGAAGGGGGAGTTAATCAGTCCCTAGTTTCTCTCTTAAATCAGCCCTTGAAGCATTTCCTTGTGCTGGTATTTTTTGTCCAGTTTTAATTTTTGAAACAGAACTATTGCTGGCAGTTAGTTCTTCATTTAACGATTATATGACGACCTTTACAATAAATTGATAAAATATTATATAAAATATGTTAATATCTGTAGGCGTGTGCCTAGCTCCACAGAGAGAGAGAGAGCGAGAGAGAGAGAGAGAGCAGGAGAGAGAGAGAGGCATTATAATAATGATTATTGAGTGTCGAACTAAAAAAAAATTTTTCTTTAAAATAAAATAAGCTACTATGATCATTGCAGTGTCATACTTTAACGACACATTTCGAAACGACCAGTCCCCTATCACCAACACCACCAGTCCCCCCCCCCCCACACACACACGTCCAGTAATCCCATACACCACCTTTTATACCCACACTATCAGTCCTCCATACCGCAAACCTCCACCCCTCTCCCCCTCAACATCACCAGTTATCCCCAACTTCAAGTCCCCCCCCTCACACACAATACCAGTCCACCACACACACCACCATTCCCCCCACACACACCACTAGTCCCCCCACAGACCACCACCAGTTCCCACACACACACCACCTGTCCACCACACACACCACCATTCCCCCACACACACCACTAGTTGCCGCACACACATCATTAGTCCCCACACACACAATACCAGTCCACCACACACACCACCATTCCCCCACACACACCACTAGTTGCCGCACACACATCATTAGTCCCCACACACACAATACCAGTCCACCACACACACCACCATTCCCCCACACACACCACTAGTTGCCGCACACACATCATTAGTCCCCACACACACAATACCAGTCCACCACACACACCACCATTCCCCCCACACACACCACTAGTCCCCCCACACACCACCACCAGTTCCCACACACACACCACCTGTCCACCACACACACCACCATTCCCCCACACACACCACTAGTTGCCGCACACACATCATTAGTCCCCACACACACATCACACACACCACCAGTCCCCCACACACCACCAATCCCCCATACACACCACCAGTTGCCACACACATCACCAGTCCCCACACATACCAACATTCCCCCACACACACACCACCAGTCCCCACACACACATCACCAGTCCCCACACATACCAACATTCCCCCACACACACACCACCAGTCCCCACACACACATCACCAGTCCCCACACATACCAACATTCCCCCCCACACATACCTCGAGTTCCCCCCCCCACACACACACAACCACTGTAGACTGTATCACAAGGCAGCGTCACTTATGATCACGTGCTACAAAACATCTGAGCTATTAATAGCACGTGTCCCTCCCCCTTGCTCCCCCCCCCCCTTATTTCAATTGTTAAATCCGACTGCTAAACCCATATCAATCTATTTCTTACCTTTAAAAAAAATGGTCTTACTACACTGTTACAATACATGAAATGATAACATAGGAAAACAGTCAATCTTGTTGTAGACTTTTATGCCCCTCATACATACTTTATGTATTTTAGAGAAATGGAATCTACACTAGTTTTGCCACGGCACCCAGTATATGTGTAAATACATACACCACATATGTTTTAAAATAATATTATAGATGTAATAATGTCGAATATACAAGCCAGCTGTTTGAGATAAATAAGATGTAATAGGGTGTTTTGTTTTGGTGGTGATTAATACAAAAGTATTAACGTCAACTAGAGTTATAAATTGATCAAGTGTTAAAACAACGAACTAGAAAACAGGATAGACTAAAAATAAAGTGTAATAAAAGATAGAAAAGGTACTAGAAAAGGAGGATAAAATATAATGCAGAGATTAACATTGTGTGAAGATACAAACGTGTAAGAGATTATGAATACACACTGGTAGAGCTAATATAAAGCAGACAGCAATACTAAGCATAACACAAATGGCAAAACTAAACACAGATAGCAACACTTAGCACATACAATAAAGATAACACAGAGAGCAACACTAATGCAGACAGCAACACCAACACAGACAACAACACCAATACAGACAGCAACGCTAAACACAACCCAGAGAGCAACACTAACCATAGACAGAAACACTAACACAAAATGCAAAAACATAACACAGATAGCAATGCTTATACAGAGAGTAACATTCGCACAGACAGCACAACTTAACACAGAAAGCAACCCTACCACAGACAGCAACATTGACAGACAGCAACACTTACAAAGGCAATAACAGCAGCATCACAACACAGACAGCAACACTTAACACAACACAGACAGCAACATCAGCACAGCAAAGACAGCACCATTTACAGACAGCAAGACTTACAAAGGCAGTAACAGCAGCATCACAACACAGACAGCAACACTTAACACAACACAGACAGCAACATCAGCACAGCAAAGACAGCACCATTGACAGACAGCAACACTTACAAAGGCAGTAACAGCAGCATCACAACACAGACAGCAACACTTAACACAACACAGACAGCAACATCAGCACAGCAAAGACAGCAACATTGACAGACAGCAAGACTTACAAAGGCAGCAACAGCAGCATCACAACACAGACAGCAACATCAGCACAGCAAAGACAGCAACATTGACAGACAGCAAGACTTACAAAGGCAGCAACAGCAGCATCACAACACAGACAGCAACACTTAACACAACACAGACAGCAACATTGACAGACAGCAACACTTACAAAGGCAGTAACAGCAGCATCACAACACAGACAGCAACACTTAACACAACACAGACAGCAACATTGACAGACAGCAACACTTACAAAGGCAATAACAGCAGCATCACAACACAGACAGCAACACTTAACACAACACAGACAGCAACATTGACAGACAGCAACACTTACAAAGGCAGCAACAGCAGCATCACAACACATACAGCAACACTTAACACAACACAGACAGCAACATTGACAGACAGCAACACTTACAAAGGCAATAACAGCAGCATCACAACACAGACAGCAACACTTAACACAACACAGACAGCAACATTGACAGACAGCAACACTTACAAAGGCAGCAACAGCAGCATCACAACACAGACAGCAACACTTAACACAACACAGACAGCAACATCAGCACAGCAAAGACAGCAACATTGACAGACAGCAAGACTTACAAAGGCAGTAACAGCAGCATCACAACACAGACAGTAACATCAGCACAGCAAAGACAGCAACATTGACAGACAGCAAGACTTACAAAGGCAGTAACAGCAGCATCACAACACAGACAGCAACACTTAACACAACACAGACAGCAACATTGACAGACAGCAACACTTACAAAGGCAGCAACAGCAGCATCACAACACAGACAGCAACACTTAACACAACACAGACAGCAACATTGACAGACAGCAAGACTTACAAAGGCAGCAACAGCAGCATCACAACACAGACAGCAACACTTAACACAACACAGACAGCAACATCAGCACAGCAAAGACAGCAACATTGACAGACAGCAAGACTTACAAAGGCAGTAACAGCAGCATCACAACACAGACAGCAACACTTAACACAACACAGACAGCAACATTGACAGACAGCAACACTTACAAAGGCAGCAACAGCAGCATCACAACACAGACAGCAACACTTAACACAACACAGACAGCAACATTGACAGACAGCAACACTTACAAAGGCAACAACAGCAGCATCACAACACAGACAGCAACACTTAACACAACACAGACAGCAACATTGACAGACAGCAACACTTACAAAGGCAGCAACAGCAGCATCACAACACAGACAGCAACACTGAACACAACACAGACAGCAACATTGACAGACAGCAAGACTTACAAAGGCAGTAACAGCAGCATCACAACACAGACAGCAACACTTAACACAACACAGACAGCAACATTGACAGACAGCAACACTTACAAAGGCAGCAACAGCAGCATCACAACACAGATAGCAACACTTAACACAACACAGATAGCATTGCTATCACAAAGGGTAACATTTGCACAGACAGCAAAACAACATAGAAAGTAATGCTATCCCAGACAGCAACACTTAACAAAGACAGCAACATTAGCACAAACAACAACACTTAGCACAGACAGCGACAGTTAATAGAAACAGCAACACTAAAAGACAGCAACACTAAAAGACAGCATTGCTTAGCGAAAAACAGACAGCAACACTTAACACAACATAGAAAGCAACACCTAGCATAACACAGACAACATAACATAAAAAAACAGAGATCAACACATAACAAAGAAACCACTCACGCCCTACCCCCCCCCCCCCCCACCCCACTCACCTCTGTTGGCTCTCCGTTAGTGCCAGCCTGTAGATCATACTTATCGTTGCGTACATGACCAAGAAGATGACCAGTTCCTTGTACAGCAGCTTGTACACACTCCCCTTCCAGGCAATCAACAGCCTCAAGAAACCTCCCAAAGATGTAGTAGCCACGCGGTTCTGATAGATGATTGTCATTTTTCTTCTTCTTCAGAATGAGTTATCGTTCTTTAAAACTCTCCAGAGTTCTTACCCCTTATTTAGAAAACCAAATGTCCTTTTATGAGTTCTCAGTTCGTGTTTGTCAGTGTGGACTTGTTGGACTCAAGGCTACCATAATTTCAAAACATTTCTAATGTTATCTGTTCCATTCTTATCAAACTGTATCTTTCCGTGCAATAAAATAGAGCCTAGCATTCAAATTTCACACAAATAAATTGCTTTAAGCGAATCAAAATGTGTGATTTCTTGTTTACGATATCCTTTAAGTTGTATTTAGGTGGATGATATATTTAGGTGTGTTTTACTTGTTCCAAGTGATTAAGTTATCTGAAATTTCAAAAGTAGGAAACAGTAAACAAAAAATTATGTGAAATATTACATGTGTTATAAGATCGATTTAAAAGTCGTATGCGTTATTATTAGCTAAAGAAGGAAAAAGACTGATTCAAATTTCATACTATAGACATTTCTTAATACAGTCCTATAATAAATTTGTCTGGATTAAGGATTATCAAAGAAGACATAAGCCGACCACGTATAAACAATACTATTTGTGGAGTTTAAGTTATAATATAGTAACACTTAAACCACAACAGATTTTTTTTTAAAACGTTTATTACGCATAACTATTAGAATTACATTAGTTAAAGTAAATCAAATGTCCGGGCGCAGTAGAGTTACTTTGTTTCTCGAAAATGACTTAAGAGTGTGTGGTTGGTACTATCCCCAACCGCTTGAACGGCTAAATTGTGGCATGTACCACAGACTTGCTCTGGAACCGAACTCCACCTTTTCGCGTTAGTGGTTGTGCGATCTACCGCTCGACCACCTCATTACTAAATTTGAATAAGTTAAAATAAATCCTAGAAAAACGTATACGCTAAATTTAATTTTATAACTATAACTAATTATAATAATTAATATATTAATTATTATTTCTTGGTTTTACAAATTATTCTTCCAATTTAGAAATTATACATAAGTATCTTTTTAAATGTAAAATTAAACATTGAAATTTTTAAAATTACGAATTAATATTGTACGCTAATGTTTTAATTAGCTGAAATTAATGTAAATTAAACTCACCTAAGTCAGTTCACCTTCACTTAACGATTTGTAAAAAAAATTCACCTTGATAAATTATAAATTTCAAAATACACACAGTTCGTGAATAAAAGAAAAATCCATAGTACTGCAACACTTCTACAACAACCACACGAACGACATCAGCAGTGCTAGCATGAGATACACCCCACAGCACTACAGAACACACAGCGCTTGGTTTAAAGCATGACCCTAACCCGGGCACGTAAAATATATACCCCCGTCCACATTATCCCAGAACACTACTGACGGATAAAGTTACCTATTGTTTGATTAGTCTTAATTAATTGATTGTTTACCTTGACGCCGAAGGGCGGTTTTTTTTTAAATTTCAAAGCCAGCGATTTCAAATTTATCAAAAGCTGATCACAGCCTAGAAAGTTTATAACACGTTAATAATATGCTATTGTGTTTACATGATTGAGGCTATACATTGTGACTGAACTACGCCAGTTTAACGACAGTACGTCTTTAGATCTAGTTAGTAAAAAAAAAACAGTAATCAATCATAATTGGGGGCTATACAATGTAGATATTTATAGAAATAGAATTAAATTACTTCAAAGACTACTTTTGAAGTCACAAAATTTATAATTGTGTATTGAAATTGTTTTTTATTTATCCGAAAAATTGAAATGTCGTGAAGAATTAGGTTTTAGGGAATAACGTAAAACACTTAGATTTTAGCAGTAGGTTGAAGGATTATACTTTTGATAACATGCTATGTGCGGGGTGAGGTTGGGTTGGGTGAAGAAATGTTAATGGCATTATTTTTTTTTCTCGACGATAAAAATTAGAAGGAAGAAAAGTTCTAATTTTTGTTGGAGTTTCGACTTATTTTTAGAATGGTGAAAACACCGTCTTTAAAAACAAATTGAACTTATTTTTTTAGGTTATGTACTAGGTATGTAGAGGTGTTTTTTAGGACGGTTGTGACGGTGGGGGTGGGGCGGCTTAAGTTAAGTCTTTTTGTTTCTGAACAACGTCGTATGCAGTAAGGTACTTCAGTACATGACTTAGTTTTATACCTTGATTAAACAATGTGTAGAATTCATTTAATATATAGTTTATGTATATTATATATATATATATATATATATATATATATATATATATATATATATATATATATATATATATATATATATATATATATATATATTTATTTATTTATTTATATATATTTATATATTCATAATATCTAATGTAAAACTAAATAATGTAATGGTACATACATGTACTTATGTGTACGTGTGCATGTGTACGTGTCTGTGCGTGTGTGTATGTGTGTTTATGTGTGTATGCGTGTGCGCGCGTGTGTAAATGTATACACGTGTTCGTGCGCGCGCATGTGTGTACGTATGTACGTCTGTGTATGTATGTGTAGTATATGTGTAGTTGAACTAAAGACTTTATCTATAACACCGTATTAAAAATTCTTACAACCCTACATAAGTAAGGCTGACTTCTAACACCCGCACTAATGACGTCACTCGTGGCGCCCGTCAGCTACGGCTAACAACACCATGTAAACCTATTCTAATGCACAACTTCCGCAGTCAAGATAGGGAAGTTATAAAAAAGTAGCTATCAGCAGATTTCTTAACTAATGGCAAAATTTCGGTTACTACTGTTGTCAGAGGTGTCTTTTTTTATAAGACAGGCAACATCTAGGGTTGCTGTGATGGGGGTATTGAATTATTTCAATGGCAGATTGCGTTGTGTACTAGAGGGTTATTAATCTATTTAAAATCAATTTATAGGTATTTGGAATTTGCTTTTTTTTGTTCAAATTCACTTAACAGAGGTCAATTTGTATACACGCTATCGCTATAGGTCAATTACTTTTTAATTTAATTCAAAATTTAAAAGACTTGATTAAAGACGCACCATACGAAATCAATGCGAAACTATACTGTCACAATATATATATGTATATATATATATATATATATATATATATATATATATATATATATATATATATATATATATATATATATATAGGTATATATACACATATGTATATGTATATATATACATATTTACATATATATACACACACACTGATATATATATATATATATATATATATATATATATATTCCAAACAATTTAGTGTCTGAGCCCTATTGATGATCCACCAAGCGTATCATATAACCTCACATTTATAATCATGCATACACTCTTGGTTCTATGTTATTATTATTAAACACTTAAGAAAAAAAAAGTTCATTAACTGCAACTTCTATATTTAATCACATTTTGGTAAACGAGAGTTGTCGATCTTGGGTTAAGCGGTGTTCACACTGTACTTCTAGAACGTAACCGCTGTGTCAACGCCAGTCAAGAATGCGTCACATGTGAAGTGACGTTCACTTGTGGGTGCCAGCATCAGCTGATACACACGCATCATCAAGCTTGTAGTTTATTCACAGCGACGGGCTATTTTCGTAACATCTTTTATTCGACTGGAGCATTTCAAATAGGTTACGACGTAGCTGTTGTTGTTGACTGGATGTTTGTGTTAGGAACTATTTGTTTTTTCTAACATATTTTTCTTAACTGTTTATTGTTTTGTTGTTCGTTTTTTTTTTTTTTTTTGTTTTTTTTTTACCTTTTTTAAATAATTTTTTAAACATTTTTCTTAACTGTTTGTTTTTTAAACCCGAATTTCTTTTAGTAATAAATTATACCGGGTTCGTCTGTAAAGGACTTTACTCTTCTTGTGCGGATTTTAATCATGCTCATTCCCGTCGTAACATCAGAGGCGTAGGACAAAAAGCAGAGGCAAATTAAATTTATTTTTACTTTCAATAATAAAATTACAATCAAAGTAGCATACAGTTAAATAGACACCCCCCCCCATCCCCCATCCCCACCCCCTTTACCCCCCCCCCCCCCCCTTTCACACACGGTGGGACGGAGTGGTCTAGCGGTAGAGAGCTGGACTGCTAACCCGTAAGTATCGAGTTCGAATCCGGGTTCAAGTCAAGTCAGTAGACCGTCCCTGAGTCCACCCAACTCTGATGGGTACCTAACTCACGTTAGGGAAAGTAAAGGCGGCTGGGCATAGTGCTGACCACACTATCTCTTCATAAGCCGAGGTCACAGAAACAAGTGAACTCTACTTCACTTGCCCCATAGACCGTCAGGTTTGAAAGGGAAACTTTACTTTTTTACTTTACTTTTACTTTCACACACACACAGCCTATTTGCACATCGTCACAAAAGTCCTCCATTTTTAGTTCTGAGCTGTTCTGCCTCGATCAATTTTATTAGGGGCCGTTGTACTGGGATCGCTTTTGTTGGCGGCCGTTTTAATGGGATCACTTTTGTTGGGAGCCGTTTTAATGGGATCACTTTTGTTTGGAGCCGTTTTAATGGGATCACTTTTGTTGGGAGCCGTTTGAATGGGATCACTTTTGTTTGGAGCCGTTTTAATGGGATCACTTTTGTTTGGAGCCGTTTTAATGGGATCACTTTTGTTTGGAGCCTTTTTAATGGGATCACTTTTGTTAGGGTCACTTTTAATGGGGTCACTTTCGGTGGGGGCCGTTTTAATGGGATCACTTTTGTTGGCAGGCGTTTTAATGGGATCACTTTAGTTAGGGTCACTTTTAATGGGTTCACTTTAGTTGGGAGCAGTTGTACTAGGATCACTTTTGTTGGGAGCCCTTTTAATGGGATCACTTTTGTTGACAGCCGTTTTAATGGGATCACTTTTGTTGGGTGCCTTATTGTAGGTAGACGTCTGGATGGCAACCGCTTTGTCTAGGGCGGTTTTGTCGAGATCTGTTTGTAACAGGGATAATTTTTTTTTTGACAATTCCATTTGACACCACGTCTATAAGAAACTTCCACTAGTTATTTGGGTGTTTCTTCCCTAAATCAACACCCTCTAGTTTTCTACGTCCCATTTATAAAAGTACTAATGACACAACTGCTGGCGAGAACAAAATGAATGTAAAAAAAAATCTAATGCCCTTTGTGATTTTATAAACCGTTTCACGGGTGATTAACTTTGACTTTAACCGTGGATGTTATATATGTGTTATTATTTCTCCCCATCCCT